CCTCACTGGATCTCAGTCTGTATAACTTCACTGCACAGCCTCACTGGACCTGAGTCTGTATAACCTCACTGGACCTCAGCCTGTATAACCTCACTGGTTATACAGGCTGTATAACCAGTGAGTATAACTTCACTGCACAGCCTCACTTGACCTGAGTCTGTATAACCTCACTGGATCTCAGTCTGTATAACTTCACTGCACAGCCTCACTGGACCTGAGTCTGTATAACCTCACTGGACCTCAGTCTGTATAACCTCACTGGACCTCAGTCTGTATAACTTCACTGCACAGCCTCACCTTCTTCTCTGCCTCCCAGCCTGTACCACAGATGTGGCTTTCAATCCACACATCGTGGACATGTGCACACAGGTCCTCAGTTATATTACTCAGCAGATTATCTGCCCAAGCACTTGACGAGCCTCATCACTACTGCATCCACCTTACAGCCAACACACCCTTTAATTCTATCCTAGCTTCAAAGTAACTGTTACAGAGTCTTTGCTTTGCAGTGGTGAGTGTATCACCAGCTGCAGTGAGGGTAGCGGACAGTACAGAACTCTGTCCACTGGGGGGCAGTGTTGCAATGCACAGCTGTTTACATCACTGCTGTGAGAAACAATACTAAGATGGCAGAGATTTTCTCTCAGTACATATCAAACTCAGAAGCAGTTCAGTATAATTCAATAACAGATACAACACATAATCGCCACACAAAGCAAATATTTCCACTGCAAACAGTGCGAGCTAAATAAACTATTTAAGAAAGCTGACAGAACAGTGGCAGCTGTTGTCTCACAGCAGTCAGAGTGTTGTCCTGTCAATGCAGTTGCTACGTTCTCTGTGTTTCTCCCAGGCTCAGTGGGCATTGCTGCTCTGCTGCTTGTCCACCTTTTTCTTTCTCTTTCTCTTTCTCTTGTCTGAATCAAAGCATTTTACTGGCAGTGTTTGTTGCATCCTTGCACTGTCTAGGAAGTTGAAGAGAGTGTTGGGTCTACATAAACTCCTAGATCTTTTTTTCTACACCAGCCTACTTCTTGGACCTCAGTACTACCCATGTGAAATTTAAATTGTGTCCCCTTGCTTCCTGCATGTAAGAACCTGCACATATCCAGTGCAAGCTGGTGCACATGGGAACACACTGCAATAATTCATTCAGTGCATGCAGTATGAGCAGAAACTGACACCGCTGGACGAAATTAATTGGTTAAAAATATTTTGAAAAATGTACAAGCATAGCTTCCATTTCTGACCGCCTAACAGCTGTCAGTCTGAGACAGAAGTCAACATTCTGGATGGGGAGGATTAGAAAATATGAAGCCTGTTCTTCCAAATACACGATTTGTTTGGTTGAGATTAAGCTCCAACTAAGATCGTTACCAACTCCGCAAATTGATTTATGCAAATGTGCTTTCGGTACAAAGATAAGTCTGCAGCTGTGACAAATGTTAGAGAAATAAAAATGTTAGCGACAAATCAAATCTCTGTTTTAAAATACGGTGAATGAATTACCATTTGAAACGGGTTTAGGTGTATTCCGTGTTTTTCAAAACAGGGTGAGATGCCCTGTCCCAGGCTTGTCTGAGCTGTCCCATGAGACCCTGCAGGCGAGTCAGCAGTGCCAACACAGCAGGCGACTGTGTGCTTGTGGGTAAGAGGGGTGGAGGCGTGTGCACCCAAAGAAACAACAAGGAATTAAACGAGCAATATCAAACCTCTGCCAACAGTGGCTCAAAATGGCTGTAATGCCCAAGCAGAACTGTTAACACCGTGCCCACCCATAAAAAGGGTATCCAGAATGAACCAAGTAGCTGTCGGACTTTTATTATATACAGGGTTGTGGGAAAAATAAATAGCACTAACCATCAGTATGGAAACAGAATCCTAGAGGAGAGTCAATGTGGATTCTGGAACGGTCTTGCTTAACTAACAAGCCACTGCGATAATGCATACAAGCCAAGCATTCGATACGTTATATTCAGCCCTGCATAAAAGATTTAGTCTCAAACTGCAGGTGGTAATGCATGCTGGTATTGAGAACGGGGTAGCGGAGAGAAAACCGAAAGCACGGAAAAGGGCAGAAAGCTCAAGGAGTAATGAGGATGTTATTAGGCAAGTGCCACTGGGATTTGGATCAGGATCACGGCTCTGTATGTCAAAGGCCTAGATTCCGGCATAGTTAGCAAAATTCGGTTATGATCTAGCTTTAAATAATAAGACATTTGGAAATAAACCGTTTACG